AACTCTCGAAAAATCTTTAATTGTGCTTGGAGAAAGATATCACAAGAAAGATATCACTGTATCATTCAATTATATATATTTTATTGATTCAATGATTGTACCAGTTTGCAAGAAATTTACAAAAGTAATTTGATTAATTAAGTAAATCAATGTGATAAAGATTGTAACAGTTTTAACGTCTTTTTTTTTTCTTAAAATAAAATTGCTCTTCTCAAATTATAAGTTTGTTGAATTCATTCTCCAAATAACTTATTCGGATAACTTACCTAAGCCGCGTATTAGAATGGGCGGTTTTAGGACATAACCGCAATTTCCATTTATTCGAAACAATCCCGAATTAAGATCCAATTCTTTGCCATTTGTTTGCATATTAAGAGAAACTGATTGTATGCCAAAAATCCATGATTGAATGGGACAAAAATTGCTGGAATTTTGTCGCAAACCTTTCGGATATGATTTCACAAAATGTTTTGAAGTGTAAACGGTAAATGTTTCACTAATTTCCATTAATTTTCTTATTTTTGTTTCCGAAATCGATATCGAACAATTTGCTGAATCTGTATGAATCATTGATACAGAATGAAAAATGTTGATCAATACGGTCTATTTTTTTACATCTTCTTCCAAAAAAAAAAATTTTTAAACAACTAAATAAACAAACAACACTAGCTTTCGGTATGCATTGCATTACCTCGCTAAGAGATTTTAGCTTAACATAATCACTCGGTGATTAAGCATAAATTAAATTTGATAATGTATAAATCTTTTCTTTTTTTGATATCTCTATCAATTCCACATTAGTTATAATTGCTTAGCTTTATATCGAAGTTTAAGTGTCAAGTTTTAAACCTGAAGCTAGCGTTGGAACTAAAAATTAATAAGCTTTCAAAGTTAAAGCTAACAATGAAATCAAAAACTAATATAATTACTGTTAACAAGCTTTTATTCCAGCTTAAAATTAGCTTATTCATTTCATCATATTTAAAACAATCTGTCAGCAAATAAAATTTCTGAGAATTAATCGAAAATCTAAAAAACGTACGTTTATCATCGCGCAAATTGTTTGATGATTTAACATGAATTATCGATATTAATCTTGATAATTCCGGATGAACAAGTAATTCCGTTTCTGCTACTTTATCATCCTTATCGTACTTACTGTTCACATATCGTTTACTTATGACAGATCCTATTTTGCCACGCAAAAGATACTTGTATTTGAGTTGATTAGGTGATGGTAATCTTATCAACGATTCATTTTTAGGTGTCAAATAAATATTGTTATCGAGAACCTTAAAAAATAATTAGAGTAAAATTTATGAAACAATTCATTTTTTAGACATAGATAAATATTGTAAATCCCCCCCAAAAAAAATTGATTGCAATAAACTTCAAATTTTTAGTTTTAACAATAGTAAAGTATAAAATTAAGGAATTCTTTTTTTTTTCTTTTAATTTTTCGATAAACATAATTATCCTAATAATTTAGAAATAAAATTATAGCAATAATTAAACCTCAACAAAATTCCTAGCCATAATTTGTTGTTGTTCCAAGCTACAATAATTTTCAATTGTAAGAATAAGTGGATATGGTGTATATCGGAAGGCATAATTTTTGATAACTGTAAGAGCATCCTTTAAATATCTCGATGTTATCAGTGTCCCACGATGTCGTATACATGGTTCACCGTGTGCACCATCCAATACATCTACTAAATATATCCATGCTATAATTTATTCATTAATACAGACAGAACCTAGTAAGACATACTTACAGTAACAATATCAAACTATCAGATTAACTTATCAGCCCATTTTATTATTTTCCAGTATAAATGTAGGTTTACATTTATTCTTGTATAAATGTAATTTTTAATTTTCTTGATATAGCTGATCAAATAAAAATGATTTCGATTAGTGGTGATAATAAACTTATCACTACCAATCCAAATTATTAGTGGTTCAGCCTTCAAAAAAAAGTACATACGTTATCTTTAGTGTGATTATTTAACTGTTATCATTTCCCATATTATGATTTTAGATTGTGATATATTATTACAAAAAAAAAAAAAAAATGAGTTTACATTCAAGTAATCGAGCTCCTTTCCGGATAGCATTAATGTAACCTTCAATGATTGCTTCACCATTTATTTGGGTACCAACCAAATAGATATTATGACTTGAATTAATATAATAATGAGACAATGGTTGATCTAACTCTTGAAAGATATTTTCATGTCCACATTTTAAAATATTACCCCAACGCGAACGTAATAAATATCGAAAATCTATAAATTAATTTAAATAAAATATTAGAATATATTTAGAATGATGCTATTCACATATGCTAATTAAAATGAAGCAATATTGAGATGTAATTGTAATTTGGAAGTTACTTCTAAAATTCTTTCGAGTGATGAAATAAGTAATTTCCATTTCTGATTTAACTCAATTTCACTTGTAACTCATATGAAAATTATTGAATTTTAATCAATATTACCAAATGGTCCCAATAAATTTGCTGGTTTCTCTATTCGATAGGTGCCTAATTTAATAATAATTTCATTTATGATAGAGGTTGCAATATTGTTGTCAATACCTTTGAACTGAAATTTTTACTGTTAAAATATTACATTCGCTTTTCTTATCATTTATTAAAATCATTTTTGAGCAATAATTGTCAATTATTAGATTATATTGATTGAAAACTGGGAGAATTTTCGAAATTGTTTCAAATTTGATTAGTGTTCGATTAATTTAATTTAAAATTGAAATAAATATAATTAACGAATTTTAAAATTTGCTTTGTTAACTTTGATAACTTACATTCATTTCAAAACCATAATTACATTAATGACAGCATTGGAATAGAAATTACAATAAAATTTATAACCTTTTGCTTATAGATCAAAAAATTTTTCAAATCATTCGCTGATAAAGTGCCATCTTTTCGTGAGCTATATTGACGCATAATTTTGCCTTCTTCGAAATTAGCGGTTAGTTTTACGAAAAGTTTCAGAAATCCTTCCAGATCAAGAAAAAGATCCGATTTTCAGCCAAAATTATATTTTTTAGCACCTGCGCTCTATATTTACTTTCAAATATAAGTTTATGAATGTTTGTGATTTTAAAAAATTGATATTTGATGAAATTACATGGATTAATAGTTTTTCAACATTTAATTTATTTCAATGATTTTTTTTCTTGATTTTGATGCATTTTATATTCTCATCTGTTTTTTCCATCACACGAAAAAGTTATATTTGCGGTATCCTAATTACATCATTGAGGAGGAAAGCGGCTAATGAAATTAAAAGAAATTAATTCACCTGGAATAAAACTTTTGCATAATCTTGTTTGATGTTCAAATTCATTTCTTTCAAAAGATGGCAAATTTCGTCAAAATTCAGTCTACCTTAAAGTTTTTCACGTGCTTTCATCGATTATAATGCATTTAAATAAGATATCATTATTACCAAATCGGCAAGCAAAAATATGCCGTATATTTTAATTCATTTTAAAATTAAGACAATGAAAAGGAGCAAATAATCCGATGATATAAATCTGAGAATCGAAATCTTGAAGAAAACTTGAGGAAATCAATATATTACTTTCTCCTTCAAAAATAATCATACCTGTTTGATTTTACGTCTGTTGCATAAAACTTATCAATGATCCATTGTTTCTCGTTGAATTCCATCAATTTAGTCTCTTTCTCGCCTATAATACACCGTAATGCATCAGCAAATACTTCCTTATCTCTCGAATTTGCAGCAATAAAATCGATCATCCTTCGTTTATTTTTCCCATACTGCCGAACAATCACAGAGATGCAATATTCTTCCTGAAAATTTTTTTTTTTAAATTTTTCAAAAATAATTTGAAAAAGATTACTCCTTTTTTATTGCTCAGTGCCGAATGATTAGATTCGTCAGTATTATGAAAAAACAGAAAAAAAAAATGATTCGATTGATTGTAATAAAAATAAAAAAATAAAAATAAGAACAAAGTAAAATCACCGGTGCAATTCGTCGAAATGAAATTCTTTCTGATGCTTTTTGCAATTGATCGGTACCAAAACCAATGCATACTTCCACTAACTGATCAACTTCTACTACAAAACGAAAAATTAACAGAGAAAATATTTGAAAATTTAAATGCAACATATTTATTAGGAACAATAAATAAATTAGAAATATTTTAATTTTTCAAGAATTATCTGATAAAAATTGAGAAATTTTCCCTGAAAAAATTTTCTGTTCGCTGATGAAATTTTTCAATCATATTTTTTGATTATTTTATATTATGTATATATTATTATTTGTTCACATAGCTTCCTTGAAATAAATATCCAATTCAATCGACAGTCCTAACATATTAGTCCGGAGATATTTGCAATACTAGGCCTGATACAATCATCCTTTTGATAATTCTTTTTATTACAGTTTCAACCGACCTGTTTTTTGCCTCGGTGAAATGATTTTCGAATAGCCAAGCGTATGATATTGAAATTGCCTATTCCCATTAACAAAAAATACCGATTTGGCTTGCCCAATTTTTCCTCGTTTCACTCGTCTCATCAATGCTCCATTTTTGGCACATAATTTGATAGCATCTTGGCTACCTTGGCCATGCTGTATATCACTAGTAACCGATAGTATGTTGATCTCTGAGGCATTTTTTCTTGAAATCTGATTTGAACGATTACCATTCATAGCATAGCACGTCCTTAAAAGTGTTTTGTTGGTCAAGATTGTTTGAGTCTAATTAACAAATTGAAGATTTCTCGTAATCTCAGAGTGATAAGGTTTGCCTAATTTATCTTCTCTTCTTAATTTGTCCTGGTGAAGTGGTGGCTAACACAAAGTAAAGGCTTGTAAATTTAAAATTTTCAATGATTTTCAAAAATTTTTGCTCACTCAATAATTGGCTAAGGAAATAATCCAATAAATTAATCGAGAAATTTATTCATTTTTTTCAAAAAATACCTGTAGTAACTATTATTTCATTTCCTTTCCAAAAAATTTTATTTGAATTTGTCTGAAAATCTATACATAAGAAAATCTATACATAATGCATAAAATATTTAAAATACCTTAAGGCCTATTTGACTTCATATGATCTCTTTCTTAATGTTTCTTCTTCAATTAAATATGTCCTATCGATAACTTCGATTATATCTAATCCCATAAAGTAACAATTTATTGATTTATAATTGATCAAATATTTTTAAATGAAATTGTACTTTGAATGCTAGCTACTATTTCCGAATATATAAAGGTAAAATCAATCAATCCAATATTGGTCCAATTGTTTTATAAGGAAACATCAAATAGAAGATAGCTTTACTGCAATAAATAATTTGAAATTAATTGAGAGTAGCAGAAGAAGAAGAAAAACAATTAATTCATTAACGATTTCAAAATCTGCTCATTGTTTGAGACCCAAATTTTCTAATCATATTTGGGTGGAAAAAAATTAAAGCCAAATGTATTTTCATCCTTAGAATTCTCTGCTCAAAAAATCTCGTGAACGAAATGAATTGTCGACTGAAATAGGAAATCAAACAAAATAATCTTATTGAAGTTACATTTAATCGTGCACATAACTTTTCTCATCAAATTCAAAAAAAAACTGCTAAGTGTGGTTTTCATTTTTTTTTTTGAAGTGACAATATATTTTGTGACAAGAATTTATCTATTGAATTATTCACATACCATTGAATCATACACTATTTTTTCACATCTTTTTTAATGGTTCATATGCTATATAAAAAAATTATGAGATTTTCTTTTTGAAATGCTAAAAAAAAATATAATTAAGTGGAAATCAATTTTTATGAAAATTATATTGAAGTAAAGTATATGAGCAAAGGACAGGATAGAAATGATTTCTTCATTAAATTATTAAAAAATATGAAAAAAACAATTTAAATAGAAATTAGTTTTTATAAAATTTGTATTAAAGTAAAATATTAAGTAAAATATACACATACGCATAATACGTCACATTCGTTTAAATTATGATTTCATTGTAATATCTTTGTAAAAAATTTTAATCCACTAAATATACTTTTAATCCTCACAATGATCAAATATCATTAGATTGAATTTTGTCAGAGAAAGAGTGATAAGCAATATTGAGTGTTAATTGATAATTTGCAAATTCTATAAATATTCAGCCTATCCAAATGATTATTATGTAATGCAATGATAATATTTGAGATAATCGAATATATGTACCAATATTAGACGGATAGATCTACGGAGTGATCTTCCGATGAATCTCAATGATAGCACAAAAATTTGATAGTCAAAATCTTTTATTTCACATTTAAAATTACCAAATCATTTCATCATCAAAATAATTTCCCGAACATTACAGTAAACTCGTTTTATTTTCAAAATTGACAGTTAGTTGATTTTTTTTTTTATAATTTCGTCTAAAATTTGATAGTGAACACAATTCATTCATTGCAATTTATCAAATTTCATTTATAACATTATCTAAAATGTTCATATGAAAACAAAAAAAAAGAGTTATCAGTTAATGCTAAACATTTTCAAAAGTTATAAGATAATTATACAGGTGTGCTGTGGCATTTACGATGTTCAGAAAATAATGATGGCCTAATTGTTGAGGTAGTATTCATAATTTTGCCAAGAACGCAACTCCTACATTTACAAGTACTCCGTGATCCTCCATTCTCTGAACACATTTCCTTTTTAGTAATCCATTTATCATCAATTACAGTGGATCCTGAAAATTTTAAATTACTTAAAAGCAAACTTATTTTTACATTCTTTTTAATAGTAGGGCAATTGAAAAGAATAAAAATGATCTGTTAATTAGAGAGAATTATTGCAAATATTCTCAAATTTTTGAATAGCAAAGAAAAAATTGAAATGAAATACAAAGAAGGAAGTTGTAAAATAAATTTAATAAATATATTTCATTTGTGATAATTTATGAAATGATTTATTACAAATGTTCGGAATCTAAATTTGAAGCTGTAACTTAATTGCTAAAATTGGATTATTTCAAAAAAAACCAATTCTCTTACCCCATTTTTTAAAAATAATTAATTATGAATTAATATGGATGAGCGCTAATCCTTACTTTTCTGAAAAAAGGATCTAAACAATACTGTTTGATTCGATCACAGTTCAATGTAATTTCCAGAATTATATAAAAGAAATTTTCTAATTTTATGTACAAAAAGAAGTCACTTAAAAAAAACTTACTTGGAAAAAAATCAGTGGCATAATTTTCATTAATTGTTGAAAGTGAAATTGGCCGATTTTTTTTCCTATGTCGTCTGTATTCACGATGTTTGATATAACCCTGTTTGCAACGTTCTTCAGGCAATACTTGTTGCATATTGTAAATATATTTTGGATATGCAAATTTATTCTGAAATTTAGAAATAAAAAAAAAATCGTAATATTGTAAACAAATTTATATGATCTAACACTATCCCAATGATTATTCCATTTTTTTAGTGAAAAAGTTACCTGAAAAGATGCCTGAAAAGCATTTGTGATGCATATCAATCGATCTGATTCAGATGACTAACAAATTTACAGTTGAATTCATAGCAAAAATTTTGTTTTTTCAAGTGATACATACTAATTAATAGTCTTTTTATCCTAGCAAAAAAAAAAAAAACTTGGGCCTATGGAAAGTATAAATCACTTTGTCATCATACTGTTCGAGCAAAGTTGTCGCCGATATTTGCTGTTTTGTTTCTGAAATGAGATTTTCATGCTTGAAGTGCCAAATGATTTTTTTGAAATTTGAATTCACTTTCAATGTTTGCAATTCAGTTGCTGAATAATTAAAATTTTTCAACAAATTACTGATGTATGTGAAATTTTATTGATGCTAACTTCAATAAAAGTAAAAATTCTTCTATTTTATTCAAAAGTTAATGTAAAAGAAAAATTCCTTCATTTTATTCAAAGGTTAATCAATTAAATTTTAATTCTAATTTAAAATAACATTGAAATAATGGCAAAAATGTAGCCGGAATTAATTAATTTTCAAATAATCATAAGAAATATGAGAGTAGGAGGAAGAGAGGGAGAGAGAGAGAAGGATGAATGAGAAATAAAATTTCAGTTTGATCAATCACATTTTTAACTTTGGTTTGTTTGAAGTGAAAAAGTCTAAATTAATATTTGGCTTTAATCCTTTATAGGCATTGCAGAAATTATTTTAATTCAGAAATGGAAAAAAGGAAGTGAAATTTTGATAAAAATCAAACTAACCATTTCGTTGTTGCTGTTTCACGCAATATTTATGAGCATCATAAAGAGGTTTAAAGCATGCCAAATAGAAGAGCATAAAAATCAGTAGGAAAACTCCCAAACATATAAAAATTGTGCACAGTACTGCAATCGTTGTGTGACATTCATTTTTGATAATTGGTGGTGAATCGGAAAACATCACAAAGTTCCAAATGAAATTTCAAATGAATTAGGCGGATAACTATTACTTGTAACTGCTGCTTTAGCAAAGAATATAATAAACAAATTTTGGTTATAATGAAAATGTAATATTATTAAAATTAGCAATTTGAAAGTTCAAGAAATAAGTAATAAATTACACTTGAGCTAATACTGAGAAGATTTATAATAAATTATTCTGGGAGGCTGATTGATTTGTACATATTAATAATTAGCATTGGTTTATTTTTAATTTAAATAATTTTATGTGATATTATCGAATAGAATATCAATGATTATTCCAATTTTAATCTCCATCATATATGGATCAATGATGATAGTATTTTGGTATTTCGCCAAAATATTTCATCAAATAGTTCTATTTATCTAATTGACAATGATAAGAAGCAGGAAAAAAAACAGGAATAAGACAGAGAGAGAGAGAGGGAGAGGAAGATAAATGATTAATTCCTATTTGTTTATAACTTTCAGCGGAATCCATGCAACACCCAAGAGATAGTTAAAGGTAGCAATTTGATATCGAATTTGATAATAGATTCAAACCGATGCTGCTTGTAGCTATCACCATAACAACGAAAGGCTTTCTCATACTTATTATTAGGTGTCATTATTAAACTTATTGTCATTCCAAGCTTGAAATTCATGCAAATGAATGAATTATCAATATTTAGGATATTTTGGTTTTATAGCGTTTTTTCATCCTAATTAAACGATGGTAATCAAATCTGCCAGCAATAAATAGCTACAACTGCAAAATCTCAAATATAGAAATATGTTAAAATGTAATGAAATTCGAAATATCAAAAAATTGCTAATTTATCTGATATCGCTATAATATCGAGCATTAAGGATTGATTTCATTATAGCAGCATTCTAGTTTTACGGTCATGAAAATTCACTGACATAAAATGAATAATAAATATTTGTAACAGATGAATTATGGCCGTTGTTTTATGTACGATTTAATTTTTAGTATTACGATAATTCCTCAACATGCAAAGAATCAGTGAATAATTTTAACTGTGTAAAATTATAATTTTAAAATGCTAATATAATTTCATGGAATCAGACAAGCTCTTTGTTAATGAGAATATCATTTAATGAATCAATTGTTAGCAGATGAATATACGACACAAATGTTATATAGGAAATTAATTGTTTTTGCTTGATGGAGGGATCATTATTTTTACTTGGAAAATTAAATGATTTAGAAGCCGACAATCTAGAGAATTAAGAACGTAAATGAAAATCAATCTATCAAAAGGTCAAGATCAATCTAACTAAAAGAGATCAAAGTAGCTAGAAGGACTTTTATCATCTAATATTATTAGTCTTTTTCTTAATTCTGCAAAATTTAGCAAAGTTACCTCTTCTAGCCCATCTTCGCTTTCTTCATCTTTAAGTGATGAGATATTTGTTTGTCAAGTATTCAGTTTCTTCAAGACTACTGAGCTTGCATTATTTGATCTTTCCAGATCAGATTAAACAGTCTCAATATCAGTTGTCCTATCTGCAAAAGTTGAGAAGAATGCTAAAAGTGATTCGATTAGACCCATTTACCTCAATTTACCATTGATTTCTTTGAATCACCTTTAATAATAAAAATGAGAACGAAGAACAATATAGTGTAACTTCTATTTTATTTAACCACAAAATTTCAAATAAAATAGTGCTTAAAAAATTTCGAATTTAATAACGATACGCACATTTTGTAATTAAAAAAAATTTTGGTTACAAATTTTTTATTAAAATTTCTGTTCAGATAATTTCTTTTCAACTCTCATAATTTACAAGGATATTAGAAATTAGAAAATGAATAAATAGCTCTCATTAGTTGAAATAATAAATAATTGAAATGAAATGCACAAAATTTAATTGCCTTGAACAAGAGCAATAAGCGTATCACGAAATGCGCCAGAACATTCGGAGCGGATGCTATCAACCAGCGATTGACCATAGCTTTGTTCGTATTGTTGCTTAATTAGTGCTAAATCAATTTCGGAACGTGATACGATGATTCGGATAAGATCTTTATCGTTTGTTCCCAAACCCTGCAAATTATAAAGCTATCATTTAAAAAATTGAAAATTTTCTGAAGAAATTTGAAATAACCAAAATTGAACTGAAAAAAATTGAAATTTCAACCTAATAGACAAATATATCGTTCTACATCAATAGTATTTGTACGAATGAAAAAAAAAGTATATTTAAAAACTGTGGTAAAATATGTGAAACAAATTGTGGTACCTTCATTGCCTGATACAGTTCGTAAGCAAAATATCCAGGTTGGTTCTGGATATTCTTCACCAACGCTAATAATCCTTCCATGATATCACCACTGAATTCATTCTGCAAAATTAATATACTTTTTTATCGAGTGAAACTAAGTATGAGCTGAATTACATTAAAAAGGTTAGGAAATTTAGTTCACTATGAATAACAGTGAGAGTAATATATCAATTTAAAGTGCGTTAATGCATGAATTTAATTTTTAATTAATAATTATTCTTTCAAATTGACCCTAATTGCTTCCCCAATATCGTGACCAGTAATTTGCTTGTAATCATTTAAAACTTGCTGTAGTTGAGAAAAATTTTCAGTAACCAAAATTTTGATAAATGTTGACTCACTCGTACCCCATCGCTTCTCACCAGATTGTTCCAATTCATGCGCATCCTAAAACATAGTAATTGAACAAATTAAAAGTAATCGATTTAACTAGCTCATATTTTTACCGAAACATTTTTCAACAAGTTTCATCATTGATGTTAATAAGTTAATTAATATAGTTCTATTCTTTAAAAGAATTAAAAAATAAAATGCATCTAATTTTCAATATATACAAAATTAACATTCCTGTATGAATGCTCGAATATCTTTTACAGAAATACTTATCATACCTCTTTGATACATAAAATTAAGTATTAAGCTTTTTTCCACGCTTCGATATTTTTTTTAATTTTTGGGTTCAATCTTTTTTTTTCTTTATATGCCGATATTGCATCCAGCGGAAAAAGCTTCATATTTTAATTTTACTGAGATCTACGTCATCATACGTTGCTTTATGCACGAGCATTATTATATCGTCCTTTTACAAATCTCTTAATCAGATAATGCTCAAATAATTGAGTAAGCATGAAGCATTCCGCTAAAAGAAATCAGAGAAAATGTTCATCACCTGATTTGCTTTCAGATAATCGATCTTTGTTGATCCATCTCGATTCCCCTGCAACAAAGAAATCAAAAGATGTTCGAAGTGACCACTTGTATCACCTTTTATGCTGTCTTCCAATGATTCACCGTACTCTTCTTCGTATTTTTCCTTAATTCGAAGAATTTGTTCGTTTGTCCTCGAACATATTATTTCGATCAATATTTTCTCTTTAGTTCCGATTCCCTATAAATGATCAATTGATCACTCATTTGTTATCAGATTAACTCATAAAAAATCGCTACTAGTTTAAAGTTCTCAGCAATGATTTGATAAGATTATAGGGATTAACAAATATATCTTAAGCATATTCAAGAATATAATTCGAGAAGATTCGAGAATGCTAAACGTTAGATAGGTTTGAAATGTTCAAAGGCTAATAGAACGATTAATTAAATAAAATATTATTAAACGAGTTTTTTGATAGATTTTATAAAGCTAAACTAGGATAGAGCCTACAGGCTTAAATTATTTGATTGAGTATTTTGGATACAGTAGAACTGTACATATGAAATGAAATGATACAAAAATGGCGTGATGTATTTTTCGAGCATCGTATTCAGATGGTGTCATCATTAGCGCCAGAATAACGTCCTCAAAATCACCGTGAAGTTCACTTTTCAGCGAATTCATCAAATCTTTTCCATACATCGATTTATATTGCAAGGCTGTCTAAAAGTAAGTGCTAAAATAAAAGTTTTTAAAAGTTATTCTAAGTTGGAAACATATTTTATTCTGCCACTTTCTCCTGCTCAATTTTTTTCATTTTCTTCTGAGATATACCATAACAGAAATAATTCATAACATCGGGATTTCTCAATTTCAAATAATATATTAATTTTAATTGATCGTATTTTTGACTAATTTTAATCACTGATTTGTAAAGAATGAAGTCAGAGTGCAAAATTGAAAGGATACATATCCTTTTTTGTTCATATAATTTGAATTTCACATATTAAAATTAGCTGATTGAACATTAATTAAAAATTCCAAAATTCACTATACCACTTGTCGTTGGTCATTGTTAATCGTTGTTAACACATGCAACACTTTTTCTCTATTACATCCAATACCTTTCATAGCTTTATGAAGAATTTCAGCACATTGTTCCGGATCAAAATTAACTTGTGGTTTAATGGTACCAAAGAATTGATCTCTGTACCGAAACATCCTGAAAATTTTCATTCTAATAATAAATTGAGAAATTCAAATAATAAATTGAAAATGCTCATTTTTTAATGATAATCACTAATTAAGAAGTATCAGAATTCATTGCAGCATAGGAACATATGAGCAAGACATGATAAAATGTAATAAAGCAGAAGAATATTAAATATTTATCCTTAGCAAATTTTTCGAATGTAAATTACTATCCAAAAAGTTAAGGCATTGATTTAAATAAATCAAACATTTCATGTAATAGTTAGCATGCTTAACAAGTAACAAATAATTAAAAAGATCGATTAAATGAAACCCCATTTTGTAACAATATTTAAAAAAGCAAGAATTATCATTTTTTCAATTGAAATAATTCTGTTCAGTAATTTCATGAAAGTATTGCTACTCGTCATCTTATGGATGTAAGAGATTGTTTGAGAAGTCAGTTAATGGGAAGGTATGAATGATTTCAATGTCCAGCATAGCCAATAAAACAAGTGTGGTAACTGAAATTTATCGATCGGTTCAAACTATCCAAGAGTTTTCGATTTAAATTACTCTTTGAAAAAAAAAATGATATGATTTAAATAATAGACTTTCTCCCTCTTTCTCTCCCTCTCCCTCTCTCCCTTTCTCTCTTTTTCTCTCTCATAAAACAAGCCTTGAATTATATCAGCATGGCGGTGTGACAGCTCAAATGTCGTATAGTTTAAATGAGTCATCATGCAAAAATGAATTAGTCCATAGGAAAGGGAGGGTGACACGAACTTGGGAGATAAATTGCGCTTACTGACAGTGACAGCAAGTATGATAACAATGGAAATGATTCACCACGACAATAATATGAATAGACAACATGAAATTGAACTATACTGGAAAAGATTTATTTTGTTAAATTAAAGAGACTAAAAAAAAAAAAAAATTTGAATCCATCAATTGAAATTGTGTATTCATGAAAAATGTCGTAAAATTGATTGATAAAGAGATTGAACAGAATGATTTAATTGCTCAATGATTAATATTCAGTAGTAATTAATTAGTTCAAATGAAGTTCGAATTACATCAAAACAAATGAAATATTTCGGGGGAAAGAAATTTTTCATTCTGATCATATTTGATTACGCTCATTAAATTGGCTTTGTTGTTGTTGGTTTGATTTCGTTGTAAATTTGTTTCGCTTATTTTGTTTTGCAGTACGGCGAGTTTCGTATGTAAGCTAAGATTTTGTAGTAAAAGTTATTTGAAATAATTAAATTTGATTTAAGAAATTTATTGAAACATATTGGAAGGGAAATAAATTCCATTTCGTTAACATTTTACATCATCTAATCGTTTTTTTTTCAGATTTTTCCGATTCTTTTATCTTTACGTCGTAATTTTTTTAATCACTTTCCATTAGCATTTCAATATTCTTTCTCCTAGTAAATGGAAAAAAAAAAGACTTATGCATTTTAGTGTTTTTGGTAGTGAAAATGTTAAATTGTTTATATTTTGGTTTTCACATCAAAAAATGGAACGTCCATCGTCAGATAAAATATTCTATTTTTTTTGACTGTAACGAAACAAACTATTTTTCGTCAGATAAAATATACGATTAGATAGTGAATGAATTAGCAGATCTGTAAAACATTGCATGATATTATTTGACTGTAACGAAACAATCTTTCATAAACTTATTTTCTTTTTTAGCCATGAATTCAAACAATGAGTCACTCATTGGATCATCGTCATATGAGCAATTTGACATTTCGCAGTATCGAAAATTTCTGAGCAAATTACAAAATCGTGCAAACGAGCTATGGGAGACAGGATTGTGTCGTACTCCTACTTCAAATACAGTCGAATTGCTAGCAGAGCATATGATAATTAGGAAATCCTTATTGGAAATCGAAATGATGCAAAAAAAATTTACAGGCAGCTTAGAAATAGAAATTGATTCAACGTGAGTTTGTTTCAATTGCAGTAATTATCTGTTTTACTAATAAATTGTTAGGAATTAGAATTAGCATCAATTAGCAGAAAGGTCTTCGTAATATCTTCCACTTGTAAAATTGTTAGCAAATTATCATTTGTACACACAAAGTTTCCATCTATTCTGTTAGTCACTGGAGTTAACTGCGAGTGAATTTGTTTAAATGAAGTTTGATATTTAAAAAAATATTCCCTACAAAATGAAAATGTAAGATTAGCGAAACACATTGAAATTGTCCATTCTTATATGAGAGGATCAGGAAAAAGTCTTCTGGAAGAAAGAAATGAATATATCAGTATATGTAATGTATTAATTCTTGCATGTAATTTTTTAGTACGAATTATTCGGAATGAAGTTCTTATTTTTTTAGCATCAAAATTTAAAATGGTGAATTGATTTTGCTGCAGATATTCGGAACGGCGTAAAGCAGCTCTAGCAGATTTTATGCAATGGGCCAATACGGTTGGAATCTTTCACTGTTGCATAAAAATTGCATATGATGAAGATATGGATGGATTTGGTTTGGTAACCTCAGATTGCGTTGCAGCTGGATCAGATTTGTTAAGAGTGCCTCGAAAAGCAATCTTTTCATTGGATCAGGCTCGAAGATCATCTTTCTTAAGGTAATTCCTCACTTTAGGTAATGAGTTGTTGGGTATTCTAAATTTACCAAAGATTTTAAAGATTTTTCAACTTGATTCATAAAAATCAAATTTTCGACGTGCATTCGATCGTGATATAATAGTACGTTCAATGGAAAATGTTGCTTTGGCAATGATGTTGTGCTGTCAGAAAGTGGTACCTGAGTCACATTGGCAACCATATATTAAAGTACTTCCCGAAAGCTTCAATACACCTCTTTTCTTCACCGTTGAACAGTTGCAGGTTGGTGAACATATGCATAGGCATGAATATCTTTGCTTAAATAAACTTAGTAAGTCAGTTGCTTACTGCTGTTTTATAAATAGGGAAAAAGAGACTAAGATTCTACCCTCTTTCAATTGCTTAGTGATAGCAGTACCATTCATAGTTTGCATTCATACTGCATCCACCATTCATACTATTTAACTGGAAATTTATTTAGAAAAAAACTTTGTTCCTGTGGTTTTAGCTTTCGATGTATATATTGCCTTTGCTTTTAAAATCCGACTAGTCGTCTTTTACGATAAAGAAATGGTCAGTTATAAGACATTTATGTGGAAGACCAACTTGATGTATTTCTATATATAGTTACACAAGCCAGACAAAAGCTGATCGATCCGAATCATTTGCGATCTTACTGGCGAATAATAAATCAAAAGGAATTTGTCGACTGATATCGTGGACCTCTTTCTAGAGGATTTCTTTGGCATTTTTTATGTTTTTAACAGGAAATACCTTACATTTAATAACCATATTGCACTGATTCGAAATTATATAACATGCTATAACATTATATAACATGCTAATTGCTTTCATTTTTCAGTTTTTGCGTCCGTCACCATTATTCGAAGAATCGTTATTGCTGTATCGAAATGTTTCCAGACAATTTATTCATTTTTTATTAGAAATCATACGTAGCGATGAATTTCGTCATAAAAAGAGGGTAACATTATTTGATTAAATGAAAGATTTTTTTAATAGATACTTTACTGCATATGCTTTTTATCGTTTGATACCAGAAAAATTCTAGTTTGTTTTATTTTCGTCGAATTTTGGAAAAATACTTTATTTGTTCACATTATAAGCTCTTATTCAAAGAAAGCTACACAAGTCTTTATTCTTCTGTTTATCCCACAAATAAAGAATAATATCTGGAGTAAATTTTGATTTATATTGGTTGAAGTCAGTAATGATTCAGGAAATTGTTTTAGAAATCAAAAGAAGAGATGTCAAAAATTGAACCAATATATGTTAATTCTCCTCTTACTGCATCAAATTTCACCTTCGATCTATATCGATGGTCTGTTGCCTGCATCTCAACACGTATTAATATGATACCGAGCGAAGTATTGAAAGATGCCACAGGTCAACCACGGATGGTGTGTTTCTCAAATTATTGAAATTCCATTTTTTACATTTTTAGATGTGATGTTACAAAAGCTCAAATTATATGTGTAAAATTTATTCGTTTAACACATCAAAAATTCGACTTATTGTTTATTTGACATATGCTAACTAAGTCAGGCAGTGCCAAATTGCTGTTATATTTTTGATATGAGCAACTCATCCGGTTTTTCTTGGTGGAAATTTTCTGTACAAAATATACTGTTGTAAATACAGGAAGCTTTTAATGCCCTGGCTTCAAATTTTTGAAATTTTAAATAACATAATAACGACCCAAATAACATGTTTATTGTCAAATGATAGTTGGTACCGTAATTTCATCTTTTTTTTAAATTAGATACCTGGATTGATACCATTTCTGGATATGGCAAATCACAGTTACACTGAAAGCGCTTTTCATGAGGCAGTACATTTTTCGGATGAATTTGATTGTGCAAAAATCATCGCTGTTCGAGATTACAAACCTGTAGAATCGGTGAATATTTTTTATGGTTGGCGAAGCAATCGTGATTTTCTATTGCATAATGGTTTTGTACCTCTCGAGAAAAACGTTCGAGATATTTATAAATTAAAAATTGGTAAGTTGCGAATTGTTTGAAATATATTTGTAAAAAATTTTTTCCAGAAGTTCATAAATTCAACTGTTGATATTTGTTATCAACGTATTCTTCCTTTTCCTCTCCCTTTCTATCCTATCTCCATATTGTATAAAATACTTCAGTGATTATTACAGTAAAATATTACGGTTGTTTGGTAATTTTGCATTTATTACATAAAAAAATTTATTAATGAACGAACTGAACTTATGATTGACGAACTTTACTTGATGATATATACTGAATGCTGAAAGATAGGTATTTCCGCTGTAAAATGTTGAAAAATATAAATTATTTGGCATTAGATCTTTAAAAACAGGACAAACTGAAAAAAATATGTATTAAATACTAGAAATATCATTAGAAATGATAGTTTTTTTTTCCTTTAAGAATATTAATTTCAGGACTTCCAAAATCGAAACGTGAAGATGCACGTATGTATCTTTTTCATGTCCTTGGTTTTGTTGCTGAATCAACAATTTTTGCTTTCGAAGTAAGCATACGTAAGCCATATTTCCACGACTCATTGTTCCGTTTTGCCCAAATTTATGTTTTGGACGAAGTCCCTTCAGTAGCTGAGGAAGCGGAGGAAGCAGTAAACTCTTCATATAATATCCGAAAAGCTTGGAACTTTCTCCATGATCGTTTCGCTCTTCTTGTTAGAGCATATAGCACAACGGTCGATCAAGTCGACCCAGAATTTAGCAGATCTGTTGATACAGTTAGAAAATCCATGATTATAAGATTAAAATTATCAGAAATGGAGATTTTGCAAAAAGTGAAAGATTTTTGCAAAGAACAGCTACTAGGAACAGCTTGATCAGCAGAAATGTTTATTAGTTAAGTAATATCTGTGCTGTATTTAAACTGAGATTTCTATCTATCATGTATTAAATTTGTTGATATAATAACAATATTCTTACTGAACTAACAATTGCCTATATTGCTTTCAAATTACTGATGGTATCTGGTGAGACTTAAAACTACAGATTTACTAATAAAAAGATGAATGCATAATCAATTGATGCCTTTAGAATACGGACAAAATTTTTTATTTTTGCTTTGCTATTAAGAAAGTAACATGTATGTTAATATATTATTGTTCGTTGTGCATATTTTGCGCAATTATAATAAGAGCAGCTTTAAAAAATAATAAATGCTAAAGTAAATGAAATCTTTTTGTACTCAAAAGATTTTTTCTGGAGTTTTCATGATATAGAAATATTTTAATCGAAGAATATTATGTCGCTAATATTAAATGATGGAAAGTACATGCTCAGGACTTAACAATAATTGCAAATGAATAATTTTCGTAATATAATTTAAAGTTCACGTTCCAGTGTAAGTTAACCTTGATGAAATTTTAGAACACAAATTTCCTTTCTGTTGATGATGCAAAATTGCCTTCAGGGCCATATTGCACAAAAGAGACGATTTCTGTGCTGAAGAGAATGAACTGATAAAGAAATATATGGGGCATAATTTTGCGTTTGTAAGATTAAAGCAATTAGGAATAATTATAATAAATACAAGACTTATCGAATGAAATTAATAAGTTTGCAAAATTGTTGGTAATATTTATTTTGCTAAAGCGATTTGTACTAACATATTTGATTGATGCTTATCAAGAAAAAAATGAAGTATTGCAGGAATTAATAGGTGATTTGCCTTGATGGTTAAAAAATATGGTATAGATTTTTGGTCTAATCATTACTTTTGCTTCGTAAGGCAGAATGGACAAAATGGCAGTTATTAAATGAAGATGAAGTTGTGTAACTTTTTTTTTTTGATTGTGGAGCGCCGAAATATGCAAACATAAAAGATGATAATAGTCTTACACGGGAAATTCTAAGCATTTTGCCGAAATTAAAAATGTTTACTGTATCAGAAAAGTGAGTATACATCGTATTCATGAGCAGTAAATGTACTTTTAAGTTATATTATACAATAGGATAAAAATGATGAAATGGGAGGGTTGCGGGATAGAGGGCGGGATGAATAAATTAGAAGAATTTGGAAAATGTAGGGGGCTCAGCTAAGAAATTGGTGTTGCAAAATAAGTGATGCATGATTATTTTTGAAGGAATATTCGCCGATATTTGGGAAAGGTTTTCATTAACTTCCCGGTCAATTTTTCTGGATCACTGAAAATGGTCACGTCATTTGATCATTCGCTAGTTTATCGATGTTAACAATTTTATTTTTGCCAACTATTACGACATGTCTGGTTATTTTAGTTGAAGCATATATGTAATCATTTAGCGCAACTGTACTTCCCAGATTTGATTGTAATCGAATTTTTCAAAAATAAATTTGTTGATAAGATAAAAAAAAATTATCGATCATGTTTTAGATAGCCATTTCCAGCCATTATTCATCCATACTGGTATTAGCTTAATAAATATTCATCCCTGTGATAGAAATAATGGTCATAAAATATTATTTGTCCTTAAATTAAAATCCGATGATTGGTTATTAATGTGGATCGCATTATTCCCATATAATTTACTTTTGTATCAAATATTAATTTTCAGAAAAGATTAAAAAATGTGAAAAAATTTTTTAAATTTAATACAAATTTTTGATTGCAGTAAATTAGACAATGCATAATATTTTATTATCAACTATTTGGTTTCACATTCTTGGAATGATACATCGGTGTAATGGATGTTTAGCAACCAGTGCAGTGATACCACCAAAATTAACAACTTATAATCCACGAACACCAACAACAACCATTCCACCAAATGTTCAATGTTTCCCAGTTGCCAGGTGTTATTTCTAGAATATTTCTAAAATAATTAAAAATATTGGATCAGTGAGATCATCAAAGATCATCATCCTCATATGATCTTTGATTTGTTACAGTGATCTTTTTTGATAATGAAATTGTGTGAGCGTCAAGACTGTCCAACTATTTGCTATCGGATATCTTTAAGTTGTAATATTTATATTTGTTAAATGATAATTATTATATTCGATTTAATTCATTTAACAATTAAACATTCAATGATTTGGATCGTTTTAATCTAATTGGCAAAAGTAAAGTTTTTATTTAAATATTAATTCAAATGATTAGATTTCAATTATATGCTAAGCAAATTTTACAGGCAAAAGCGTGATTCTCCCTCGTCCGCCTCCTCAAATGCAGACAGTTTGTCAAATTTACCAAAGAATTGTTTGCCAATTGATTATCTGAAAAATGCAATAGCTGAAATGAAAGCAGGTCTGGTGCAAAACGATTCACCCAATTCAGAATCAAGAGTTGAAGAAAGTGCACATTTTCCGCTATCAATCTCGAAACATCCAACAATTGCTATCGAACATCATACTATTAATGATCATAGCAATGATGACGAACTTTCACCTTTGAATCACTCAGCTGGAAAATGTTAGTTAACATTTCAAAAAATTTACGCAGTCAATTGACCACAATTATATAGTTTAATTTCCTTCATATTTTTAAAAGAGATTACTCTTTTAAATATAATCTACTAAAAAATATTTCAAAAAGTTTTTTTTTTTTCAGTGTGTCAAGATTTTGAATGGGATGGACCGATTTATCTCTATAATCAATCACTGAAAATGAAAGTACCATACTGCTATAAAGTGTGACACTTTTTTTTTAAACTAATATTTCGGACAATTTATTTGTAACATTTGTAAACAATTATGATTAGAGTGGAGAGAAATTTAGAGGAAGAAATCTTGAAGTGACCAAAATGGCTTAGAATTGTTAATATTGTATGAATTATTTTCTAGTATGTTGCAAGTATTGACGAAGAAACGGATGAATTAATCAGGTTGACGCAGAAAAGCGCACGTGACAAATGTCGTTCATATAGTGGTCAAAATGGTGGACCATCTGATTTAGTATCTATTCATTCTAATGATGAAAATTATGATTTGCAAAGTATGATTTAAGATTTAAATTTGCTTTTAAATTTGAAAAATATTAAAAATTCCATGGATTTTATAGTTAGGCATTTAGCAAAAGTTTGTTTTTTTATAATGTGTTTTTCGTTTTTCTTTTTCTTTCTTTCGCTTTCATTTCTCTTTCATCAATTCTTGTCCAGTTTAATTTTCTCAAGTAAAAATAATAATTGAATAGGTTTATCTTGACAAATAGTAAATAAATAGTTCACTTCATACCTTTCATAAAATTTAAAATTTTATATGAAAATTCATCTATTCCAGATATACTATCATTTTTCGGCTGGGAATCAGTATGGATCGGTCTTGCTTACGATAAGGTACGCACTACATGGCGTTGGATAGATGGTACAACTCTATCATTTTCAAAACTTTCACTTCGTGATCCATCTCAACATTGCGCAATTCTACTAACCAATGGTTCCTGGATATCGGAAGATTGCAAAAGCAACACTGTGTCACATTTTATCTGTAAGAAACGAGCAATTGTATAAAATAATAACTTTAAAAAATATTGAAGAGCATAATTAAACAGTAATATTTTCATTTGCATTTGTTGTTTCAATACTTATTTTGATTAGCGCTATCATTAATATAAAAGCAATATTGATTGATTCACTTAATAAAACAAGGAAATCAATATTTCTCAGATCGATCAAATTAATTCTCCTTTACTATTTTTCTTTCTAATAATGCTACCTATAATATTCATTGATTTTAATATTTGAAAGTTCTACAAAAAGGCAACATTTAGACATAAATTATACTTTGGGAAGAGAAAATTATTTGTATCGCTAAAATTCTTCTTTCTTATTTTTTTATAATCACAAAAAGGAAAAATTAAATTTACAGTCTATTTCATATGCAGTTTCAGTTATCATAAAATAAATAAATGCTACATTTCGGAGTCAATTGTTAAATGTCTATCGAAATGCTTTTAATATTGCTAATAAGAAATGTTCATTTTTCTTGAATTAAAATATTCTTTTTTAGCTTATTTTGTTAACTAAGTATGCCAAGAATAATAATGAACAGATTAATTAGTTCTTTTCACATGCTCATAATTTAGAAAGTTTTCGGTTGAAAATTTCCTTTTGCAAACTCTCAAACTGAGGTCAAGAATTATAATAGCTTATTAGACAGGAATTAAATGACATTTTGTAAAACAAAAAAGGTAATTTCAGTCAAAATGAGTTGAAGTCGAAATTTTTTTGGAAGCAACAATTAGCTTATATATCAAAACGTGTTGTATTTAATTGTACATTCAAAGGTTATTTCACAGTTATCTTTGAAATACAAACGTAATCCACTGATGTCCGATGTTGATTAAATTAATTTAAATTTTGTACCTCAGCTAATTCTATTTGTAATGGTGTCGCAATGGATGCCTGGTCGATATTTAAAATATAATTGCAATCTTTGATTATTCCACTAAGAATTTTATGTTCATTAATTTAAAAAATCCTTCAATTCCAATCAGGTCAATAGCCTTAACGATTGTTTTAAATTAAAATAAAAAACTGATTTGCTAGAAGTATTGGTTTAATCAGATTTCCTTTTTTTTTCTGAGCAGTTCTTTAGAGATTAAGAATTTAGTGAATGCGTAAGAATTGGAACATTAATAAGCAACAGAAAATGATTATGAAGAATAAAATATTTAAAATGATTGAATGGTTGAAGGAAAATTTTTAGAAGAACAAAAAAATTTTAATGCTTTTGATATCATTTAGTTTTTAGAACAAAGCAGAAATTGAAGCATTGAATGGTTCAATAATTTTGCTTCAAAATTTGTTCAAAATCGACCTAATAATTTCAAAGTTTGAAAAGTTTTGGAATTTTCGAAATACTTCATTTTGTAATATAATTCACTGATGCAAAATGAATGCAAAGCTAAAAGGATTTTTAAGCTGAAATATACATCATCGAGTTTAGCTTGAAACTAGCAGAATTCGGCGGCAGTTTCTCGAACATTACGAGATATCCCGAAATATACACAATCATTCAATAGTGATCAACGAGAACAACAACTATTTTTTATTTCAATACATTCAATTGTACATAATTTCTATTTCTGAACGTTCATTTTCCAATAAATGATGCAAAATATATCCTGAACGAAAATTTTTCTTTTACATAAATTAATTAATAAATGTGACAAATTTTAGAAATTTGATGAAAATGGAAATTACCTAAGAAGTGTCGGGTTTCTTCGGGAAATAATTTCGAAAAAAAAAAAGACATCTACGTTGCAAAGCAAATAACGTACATCGTCCTTTTCTTCATTCATGCTATTTGAACTTTAATGAGTTTCACAACGAAATTCTAATGGATGACGTATTACTACGGTATTTAGCGCGAGAACAGGACGTTCAAATTTTTGTATGTGCGAATTGCTTGGTTTACAGGTGAAAGGGAGGGGTGCGTGTGTGAAACATTGTTGGATTGTTCCACGTACGCCTTGGCGTTTCACACTTTTCATTTTTGCTTCAACGTGAAGGAATGGAAAATGATGGGGAAGTGTCAGTATGATGATATGGTAGTATTCTTTTAAACTGATAAAATTTATAAATTGTTATCTTTTTATTTTATAGAATATTTATTTAGAAATCACACGCATTGTTATATATTTATAAATATCCTTAGTGGATGCTTATCGAAGATTTGTATTTTTAATCGATAATATTAAAAATTAATAGCAGAATAAGATTTATAAAGGATAATAATAAATGAAATTGCGGTTTTTGCTTTGTTTAATTAAAAATTAATATTCAGATATGCTGTTACAGATACTTCCTCAGCAAACATACTAATATACTGTCGAAAGTTTCTTGGACTAAATGTCAAATTCACGGAAGTATGTTTTTGGTTATTTCTTAAATTTTGGATTTTAATTTCACTTTAATTGGAGAGTAGGAGTCGTGATGACATATCTGTTTAGAATGTCTTGAAAATGGATTATTTTCGGGAACTTTTGATAGGAAGAGGAAGCTATCGACTGAGTATCTGTTCATTGTAACTAATGAATTCAATGTCTAGACGTGCTGGCACGCCATCACGGCGAGGTGGGAAACGAATGGATAACAAAGAAAATGTAGAAGTAGTGTGCCGTCTATGTCCTTATAAGGGCAACGATCCCTGCGTGATACCAATCGACGATGAGCATGTTCGATTTGTACAACCTTCTACTATGCAATCCAGAAACGGTATACCGGTAATAAGATTTTTCTACTCCGTTTATTGGCCAGTTGTCATTCGAATGAGAGGAATGTTTTCTTTTTTCTAAGCTTAGCATTTACTGCAAGTTATTAAGATTTTTTATCTGCAATGGCGAGATTGGCTGCTTGATCAAAATCTTATTAACATATAAAATTGTAGTATAATAATTAGTTGAACACAGACACAGATCGTTTTTGTTTTCTATTCATAGATATATAAATACCCAGGTAATTAATTGAGTTGCAGTTGGAAGCTACTTACGAATTTTCATACGTCTTTGATGAAAGTGATAGTCAACGGGTCGTGTTTGAGCGTACTGCTCTGGATTTGATCGAAAATCTAATCCGTGGAAAGAATTCATTACTTTTTACGTATGGAATAACTGGAAGTGGTAAAACTTATACTATGACTGGAAACACTGAGGTGAATTGTTTGCTTACACTTTTTGATCTCCATTGTATTGTTTCTTATGTTATTGAGACACTAACGTATGTTGAATTATGCCATTTTAATGTTTTGTATGATTTTATAGATATTTTAAATATTAATTGAATCTTTTAACCCATGTTTCATTTCAGTGTTCAAAAAAATCTAATAGTGTAATATATTTTATTGAAGTATTTGAAGTAACTTTTACAGGAAGAATCGATTGGGATTCTCCCACGTACTCTTGATGTCATATTCAATTCGCTGATCAACCGCGTGGATAAATGTGTTTTCAAACCAGATGGACGTAATGGTTTTATTGTGCGTGACGAGTTTGAATCGGCAATTGCACGACGACGCTTGGAACTCGAGCATTCCGATAATGGAGTCGAGTTAGCAAATCGCTACATTGAACGTCGAAGGGTGATTCTTGACCTTGTATAACGCTGATTTTTAAAGTTTTTAATTGTTTTGATTGCATCATTGCACCAAGATTTTAAAGGTCTTTAAAGGAAAATATATTTTAGTCGAAGATTGATTTAATATTATTATTCAAATCATAAATGTGTAAAATATTTTAATATGTTTTCTGTTACTGCAATTCACTGGATCAAATCAAATAAGAAATTTAGGTTAGCGGTGCTAACCCCGATTTGGCTTGTGCAGTATTTGTTTCCTATATTGAAATTTATAATGAAGTTTGTTATGATCTTCTTGAAGAACCACTCCTCAAAGCAGATGGTACTAGGTACGTTTTGCTTTAATTTTTTCAGTACGCTATTGGCAGTTAAATAGGAGTGTTTCTCTTGTTCCAACCTGACAATGTATTGGAAAAAAAAAATATTTTATATGTACTAAAGTGAGCTAGCATCGTGTATCGCTGGCGTGGTCAGTTATTAATAGATTCAGTTTTTTTTATCAATTTTTAGGACGCTGTCTGGTAAGGATATTAGACTAGATGCCAATAATATGTTTTACGTGGGTAATGCAATTGAAGTTGAGGTGGATTCAAGCGATGAAGCATTGGAACAATTCTACCGCGGTAATTAGTTCATATTTTTATGCCATGTTTGTGTTTATAATTTTTGCTCAATTTAAAGGCGAGCTGCTAGAAACATTGAATCCAATTCTCTTTTGAAAATTCTCTGAACACTTTCGATTTAAGCTACTTTGAAATATAAAAATACATGTTTTGATTTTTATATTTGATTGTGATTGTAAACAGTTTAGTTATTATGCAGTTAAATGGAATATGATTAATGGCGTATCTGAAATTTTACTGCGTTGTAATCTGTTGAATGATAAAGGAATTTTATCATTGAATGATAAAAGAATTCTAACAATGCTAGTTCTTTTCTTCCAGGACAAGAAAGACGACGTGTCGGCGATACGTTATTGAACAAGCAGAGCAGTCGATCGCACTCCATATTTAATATTCGTGTGGTAATGGCGCCTTATCTTTCGAATACATGTTATCCGGATGCTGATCCTACAAAGGTGCTTAATCCATTTAGTCAGAAATCTGTGTGTGTAAAGAATTTAGTGTATTAAATGTTATTAGAAAAATCAGATGTTTTTTATAGATACATGTTAGTCAGTTGTCATTAGTTGATTTGGCTGGGTCAGAACGGACAAAAAGAACAGGTAACGAAGGAGCACGCCTTATTGAAAGCAGCAAAATAAATCAAGGACTTTCAGTTCTTCGACAATGTTTTGAAAAGTTGCGGTAAGCGACGAACTTCTACGAAAAAATGTTGTAGTATATTTTCGGAATAATCGCTTATTTTTTGACATTAATATTATCCTGAATCAAAGTCTGAAATAGAAATTCTAGAAAATGTCCTCACATGTATAAAGCATATATGTTCGAAGTTATATAAATCCAACGATCAATTTCGTAATGTCTCAGTAATATTAGATTTTCTTAATGTTGCTCGAGAATCATGTCTGATTAAAATATGAGAAATGAAGCGGAAATGTTTGAGGGCAAAAAATACGATTATAGGGACAATCAATTACGTGACAAAGCAGCGGCAATTTCATATAGAGAATCGAAAATAACACACCTATTTAAAAACTCTTTCGAAGGAACTGGAAAAGTGCGTATGATTATTTGTCTGAATCCAAGACCGGAAGATTTCAATGAGAATCAGGCAAGCAGCTTGCTACACTTTGACATTGCTTTTACCTTATCGCACTCTTTTCAGGTTCAATATTTTTGAAAACTACTGTAGTTTCAGACTGTAATGCCAACTTTGTTTATATTGAAGTTTTGTTTAGGGTGTATTGAACTTTGCGCAGCTGTCGAAGGACATTGCAGTTCCGGAAGGGAACGAAGTTATGCCACCATCTCAATCTGGTTTCCCGATCAGTCGTCGTGATTTTCTGAAATGGTTAAGCGGATTAGGACCTGTGCATATCTCAGTTAGCTTATTTATTTTTATTTTTTGTTTTTTAAATTATATGCCGGAAAATTTTTGAAATACATGCCTTGTCTCCTGTTTCCAGAACAAAGAGGCACTATCCTTTCCATCGCCACCACCGTTCAATATTTCCGGTTCGGAAGATGCACAATCGATAACACGGTTACGTGATTATTATCAACATAGTGCACAGCATTATAATTCTTTGCATGTAATATTTGAACGTAAAAGTAAGTTTAACTTTGTTTTGTGTGAATTTGATTTCCATTTTCTCTTTTTTCTTTCACAAAAGTTGACCTAAATTTTTAGTACTATGACGAAACATCTAAATCCTGACATAAATGCAATGAGTATCTACATCATATTAATGCATGACCTGGCTCTTGCAATTTAGTATTCTTTTTGCGAACAAATTATCAAAGTGTTTACTTTCTACAGCGACTGAAATGGAACAACAGTTACAACGAGCTTTGTGCACTGTCGACTTGCAAGAAGTGCGCATTCAAGAACTTGAAGCGGAGAAAGATGAAACGGAACGACTTTTATCATCATTGACGTATAAGCTGAAACAAATGCAGGTGATTCTCTTTTTTCCAATTGCAATTATTTATTATAATTTTGCCTAGATTAAGTTTTCAAATGCACTTCAGTACAAAAGAAAAACTTATTTATAGCGTGAAAATTTGACTTTGCGCCAACGTTTGGAGCGTTGTGAATCGGAAGAGAACGACAAGTTAAATCAGGAGGAGGAGCACAGACGACGTGAAAGACTATATCAAGAACAGCTTCGTAAAAAGGAAAAAACACTTCATCAGGTTAATGATTTTACAAAAAACTGAATTTAATTGTTGACGACAATAACTCTCTGTTTTATGATTTATAGTTTTATAAACTGTTCAACTTTTAAGGTACGTGAAATATGTGAAAGGCCGCTTGTTTCATCAACTAAACGTTTTAAAAGCATTGAAAACATTCACAATACAACCACAGCAGATGATGGCGATACGATTAATAATGACAAGGTTAACTTTGTCATTGTATAAATTGAATTTCAAAATTTTTTCTACAAAAGAACTAATGACAGACTGTAGCGCACTAGCTGTCAAGGAAATCAATGTTCAGCTATTCAAATGGTGTTAATTTTCTAAATATTCAAATTCAAAACTGTTTGTTTCCTTTAAAAGATAATATTGTGCAACAATATTTTTTAAGACTATACAGAATGAAGAATCAACACCTCATCGTGTTGCGCTTGCAAGACAGAAGTGGGAAGCACGAACTGCTAATGATAATGTGAGTTTATCAAAAAATGGAACTTGCTGATTAGAATAATTGAGACTATAAAAATAATTTCAATTAATGAGCGGTTCAAAGAAAATGCAATATTGATTAAGATATATAAAAATCGGATGTTCTGTTTTTAGGATTTAACAAAAACTCGCACCGGCTATTACAATGCACGATTTCACAGACGATCCAAGAGTGCGAACTGTAGAATGATTGATCATCAGCCTCGAAATCGCATTCCGGAAGGCACGATTTTCCAGCCACGAATGCCAAAATTTTCTAAAACTACGAATAAATTAAGTGCAGAAAAATTGAAAAAATGCTCTGATTATGTACTGACACATCAGGAGGTTAATCGAGAGGGTTATCTCACTACACAGGTTGTTAAGGTATTATTTTAAATTTGTAAATTTCAGAGAAAGAAATCTTACTTTGGGAAAATTCACAAGTTCTGTTATAATTCGTCGAGGACTTATAAATATAGGATAAGTGTTTTCATAATTTTTAAAAAATTAATAATAGTAGTAATAATAAAGACCGATCAATCAAATTTCTTGTAGGGTGAATGTATACCAACTGCTGGAGGAGGCACAGCAGTACGTTTCAATGATGTTGAAAGATTGTCACACGAGTCACCAAAGGTTTAAATGTATTAAATACTAAATGGAAAGTTGCTAGGGAAATTAACTTTTTTGAAATGTTCAGCTCTGACCTAAACTTCTGCTTTGAATTCTATCTTTAAATTTGTGATGTTAGTTATGTTATAAATTCTTCTTGGAACCAACTGCTTTTAAATCCTAATTTATTTTTCTTTTGAATCTGAATCTTATATTTTAGTTCAAAGTTCCAACAGTGGGAATTTTTACTATACAGTTCATGTTCTGAATATATTTAAAATATGTGCAGTAAATAGGTTCTTGAGCTCCTGAGCTGTAAATAACAGTTGGTATCAGTGATCATCAGAAATATTTTTTCTTTACAGTTCAATTGTTCTTCAAGTATTATGTTTGAGATTTGCGCCGAAAATTTATTTTTTTCAATCATGCAAAAATTGAAATATAATACGATATGAATTATTGTTGATTACTGTTGACTTGAGTAATTGTGAGTATTCATCTTCGATTCCAAACTAATCTTATCGTACAAATAAATCTGCTCAGCCTTTCTTCTGTTGACCGTCTACTTCTTTCTGTGTATGTTCCGTAAAATCAGATGTGGAGAAATTTTCGATTACAATTGAAATCGAAGAGTGAGGCTGTTGCACATATTACTTCAATCATATTCCTAAAATTTTATAAGAGTTATTACTGTTTTATCAACCAGATGTACTAATTATTTTTATTATACTTCCTGGTTGCGGTTAATGCGTTTCTCTTATAAATTGCATTAAACAAGATATTATCATTTCCTTTATCCGTTATGAGTCTGACAGGTACGAGTACAAATATGGCATCTGATTTGTTTTCTAGAAAAAAACTTTGCTACGTTCAACGCTATCCTAGATTGTATGCAAAGATAAATATGCTTTATTGTCAGATTGCTCTTACAATTTCGATATCCATAACAAATCAATTATATGATGTAAGTAGGTTTTTCCTATTTGGATGACCAAACAGCATGATGTGATCTACTTTGGAATTTAACACTATTTTATATAGGATTTCAACTCCAATTATTAAAGTTCCTGTTCAATTATTCAAATTTCATATGCCCTTAATGCCTTCTCAACTTGTATCATTCTCTTTCCGATTTATTTGGGCCTCAAAAAACACGTTCTCTTTCATTTTAATAACATTTTAATAACATTCTTATGATGAAATTTCAGACTTTCATTTTAACATCATTCTTTTGATGAAAGTTCAGACGCTATGATGAAATTTCAGATTACATTTTATGCGAAATGCAAGTTGTAATGTCGCAGTCTGTCAATTATATTATCCTGTTGGAAAGGATATTATCTATCTATATCACCGCAAATAACACATTACAAATTATGCTGAACAATTTGGGTACATAGTACAGTTACAGAATTTCAGACAGTATTCTACAATTGTACTATTCAATGTGATACATAAAACATATTTCTATAAGCATTTGATACAATATGAAATGGTATCAGGTAATACATACACATTTCTATTCATTCATTCATATTAGCAACACTTGAAAATTAAACTACTTTAGGAAAACCACTTTCCATATCTTCCTTGCTATTCTATTTTTTACAATAATCATTCTCTAATTTCATAAAATATTTATGCGTTGCTTGTAATGTCTCATTCAATCACTTAATTCTTTTCATTTCTGCAATACGCGTTCTATTTTTCCCACTCTTCTTTATCCTCCTATGATTCTTGTTTATTTGTCCGTGTCAGCATCTTTGCACACGTCTCTATTAGATTCTCAATATCGATTTTACTTTGCACTGCTTGCTGCAATGCTAGAAGCCATGAAGTAAACTGTAAATTTTGGATGAAATTACTAAAAATACAAAATATAATAGGCGGAAATGAAATGTCGGATGTCCTTTTCTATCTGAAAAACCACGTGAGAATATTTAGTAATGAAGAGGATAGCACGATCATTTATTCGATACTGTCAATTATAGCTGTAATTCTTAATCACTTTTCTATTATCATAAATGATGATATCTGCTGTAATGCTGGAATTGTTCTTGCGGATTACTGGAGATATGTATTTCGGTGTACTATTTAAATATCTTGGCAAAATATTAACTGATAACATTTATTAATGTCATCAGTTAATATCATAGCATCGCATCTGAACAGGAAATCCTTTTCAATTTAATTAAAAGAAATAATTTTACGGATGACTTTATAATCTTTTTCGAATTTTTTTTTTCTTCGAAAAAGCATCCTTTTTTTTTGGAATAACGTCACAATTGTAAGAGGCGATGCAGTGAATGAAAGAAAATAATGGCTGATAATTAACAAATATTACTATTTTACAACTTACTCTAAAGATATGCGCGGGATTAGAAGGTGAAGATGGTGGAGGTGGCGGAAATGTTACTGGTACGAATTCATCCAGAGATTGTTGATCGAATTGTAACGTGGAAAGTAAAGGCTGAGTATAACAGTACGTTTCTGTTGTGAATGTGATCGGATATCGAGAAGTACTGATCAGAGGTATATGTGATTCATTATATTTATCTGGCGAAAAAGTAAGTATACTATTAAAGAGATATATGTATGATGATGTTGGAAAGCAAAAATTATCACGATATCCATATAGTCCCATGAGGATCGGATCATCTGAAATGAAATGAATATTTGCAGTACTGTGAAAAAAAAAAAGGATTATCAAAACAAGTGCTATTTTATGCCAGAATTAAAAAGTCTTAATTTTTTTTTTTTTTTGAAGCACAACTCAACAACTTTATGCTTCGTTGATTTTTAATTTTAAACTTTTTTTAAATTTTTTTTTTTTTTTGAAAATGTATCACGACATGCTACATCTTGAAAAGCACTATCAAATTTTCATATATTTCTTAAACAGAGTAGTTCATTTTATTTTAAACTTCAAAATATCCAAATATTTATTTCCATCCCATAAATAAATATTTTTCAAAATTGAGTGCTTACGATATGTTAGTTGTTCTTCTCGATGTAAAAAAAATGCCTGATCCCTCAAATAATCCGAAGACATTTCGATAATTTTTTCAGATTTGAACTCGCCAGCAGGTGTGTTAATGTAACGGTAAATCAGCATTACAAAACTCTCTGAAACAATTCATTTTAGATATTATGTAATGAAAGCAATTATAAGATAATAAATTCGATTGATTCGATAGTTGTTATCATTAAATCCCATTATGCTAAACAAGTTAATTATTGTTCATCAATTGATTTAAACATAGCTTAACCGCGAAATATGGACGAAACATGCGAGTTATTAAAATAACATATAAATAAGTAAAGCATGAAGATCTGTTTGTCCTTTTGGTTCCTCGAAAGAGATCAAAATTGTAGAGACGCACCGACAAATGTCGAGATGATTGTTGCTAAGCTTAGAAGGTTGATATCATGACCTTTCGCCATTTATATGGATTACACTGAAAGAAGTGTTGAAGCTAATTTCAATGTCCAAATTTTCTCAACTATTAGAATTAAAAAAAATATTGTGGAATCGAATATTCTCAGTTCAAAATATTTTCAACTCTAAAATACTTCAACTTTTTAATTCCGGCCCAGCATGCTTCTTCCAGGAACATTATTCTCAAGTTCAGAATTTTTTCAGTTCTCGAGAATATTCTTAATTTCAAAGTACTGTGCTTTTTAGAAAATTTTGGATATTCCAGCATATGTTAATTACATTTTTCGGATTGTGTATTTCGAGTATAATTTGAATTTCATTTAAGAAATTCATAATGCAAAGATTGACGATTTAAATTAAAACTATTATGGCATGTGATGAAGAAGCAAAAGTGTCGTAAAAAAACTTTTTTTAATGAAATTTTTTAATTAAAAACTAAAAGAAGTTTTTTTTTTTTCCGAAGACTTTATACAACAAATCATACAATCTTTCGTAGCTAAATCCCATTTTGTCACATTTTTCTAAATGATCCGATCAAATCTCGACATCCAAATTGAACAAAAAATTTAATGTATAAGGTCATTTTTAACTTTTTGGTCAGTTTCATATTATAGCATTGATTGTGAAGTGAAAAATGATGTTGATAAATTTCAATTCAAAAATCATTTCTAAAACTTTCAAGAGGAAACATCGTTACATTTATAATAACTGTAAATCTCCATTATTAATTTGCAAGTTATTACCTAACACATACTTATTTGATTCATTCTTTTCAGTCTAACATTAATAAAAGCGTAAATTTAAAGCGTTAAAATAAAAGATAAAAGATCTGACTTAATCAAATCAATTTTTTTTTTCTTATTCTGAGGATCTTTTATGATCTTAAATATGATAGGTTTAAAAAATAACCAGTAAGTTAGTACTATCTTCCACAATGATGCAAATAAGATCATCCAGCAAGTGATTTACTTTCATTCTCAAGAAATTTTCACTTCTTGAAAACTTTTTAAAATTCATGATTTTCTTGCCAAGAATGAATGAACTGAAAGATTTGACCTCGTTTTTTTTTCCCCATGAACAAACAGCTTTCTATCTAATTTTACCGTTAAATATTTTTTTAAGTGGAAAATGTAAAAGGAATTGTAATATTGGAAATAATATACTTTACTGATTGCCTCTTCAAGAACTTTTTTCCGAATGAATAGTACAGAATTTATAAACTAAAATTCGTTGAACTGGCTTTCCTGGAAGTAATTTGAATGAGATTACGAACAATAAACAATTTCATTTAATCTTTTACAAATGCTCCATTTTTGGTTAATTTTTCAAATGATGCACCTAATATTTACCGCAGAAGAGAGTTATTTGTGTCGTTTTAATCTCAAAAATTTTTCATTTTCACTAGGAAAACATCACTCGAATGGCATAATTCTAAATCGTCCAATAGATTCTTCGTAATTATACATCCGGTAGGTATAACTGATAATAGCAAAGATTAAATCATTTTGTTTTATCTCACCGATAATGGAAGTTAACATAGCTCTGAACTAAAGATATGACAGGCTAATGATTCATTTAGAGATAAGAAAATTTTTCAGCTTATTTAATGTGCTAAAAAAATTTTCCTACTAATGTGATTATTTAAAAATTTGTAGCATTTTCGGCTAAACTAGAAAGAATGTAAATTATCGTTGTTATATTTTGCAGAAGTTATCATTTATAAAAAAAAGGCACTATTTAGTACGACATTTAAGTAATAAAATCTCATGATCTTATTAGTCATTCAAAAATTTCAGAGCTAATTGTTTGGAAAATTTTTTGAAAAAGAAATATGTATGAAAATTGTACGAAAAGTTGAAAACAAGAACCAACGATGAACAAAAAAAAAAAAAAAAACTCAAACAGTAAAAATCTCGATTGACATAATATTTTTGTGGAATTGATCTCTCTTCATTTTCAGAAATCCATGAATTTATGATAGAAGTAATGCAAGAAAACTTTATAAGTAAATTATTCTTGGATGTGAATATTATATGAGTTTGGCAATGTGTGTTTAAAAATGAAACTTTGTTTTAGGCTTTAATTAATAAAAAAGTTCATTCATCTCTTCTTAATTCATTACAATTTTTTGATATGCCTTATTTTTAAATTTGATTTAAAAAAGAATTCAGTGATAGATTATTTGCTTGGGTCCTCTGTTTTTGACCAATAATTATGAAAATCGAAGTCTTTTTTTTTTTAAATTATGCCAATATTTTTGCCATAATTAAATCTTATAATGGTTAGCATAATATTTGAATTAGGCCTGATAACAATTACACATATACAATTTTTCGGATGTTCAAATGTTCCCAATGTATTTAAACTTCTTATCAATCATAAATGAGTGCTTAAAAACATTTGATTTTTTCATGAAAATTTTTAATTAATTGATTAATTAATTAAAATTATAACATCAAAGTCAGGTGAAAAATTGAAGCTTTAAAGCTTTCTCAAATGATTCATTTAAGGAAATCACAAAAGGTTAAATTTTTATGTTATGATTTTAGGTTTTCTTTTTGATGGCAGAATTTGAAAAAAATTATTCATATTGAAATAATCGTGGTGAACAAATTATGTTCTAATATTATACAACTCTAATGCATCAGAATTTGCCATAATTTAGTTATTTATCATAAAATATTTTATAGTCTTTATTAGTTGAGAATTTTTTACATTTTAAAAAGCAATACAATAGAATTAATTTCTTTTTCAATTCTAATTTTTTTGAAAAGAGTGAAGTAAATGAATTTCATTGGTATTTAAAGTAACTTAAAAACATAATTTTGAGTTCGCATGCAAATTTTTATCAGAAGAGATGGATTCTCATTGAATTCTCGACTTACCTTGACTGACATTATTACATGTCTAATAAAATAACAATCGATATTGGTCAGTTTAAAAACCAATGATAAGCGTCATGCTTTTTTTACAGTCATATTTTCTTCATTTATTGAAAGGGAAGCTTTTACCTGTGAAGATTCAACATTTTTTTATAAATTTTGCTTTAATAATTTTTAAAAAAAAATTATTTATGCACAGAAAAGCATAAAAATGTGAATTTTAATTAAATTTTTCGCTTATCAACAAAGAAGGATGTTGAAGATTGTCATCTATACTCTGGCCTCGAAAATATACGACACGAAAAGTTCAAGGTTCTATAGAGTTGTTGAGAATGAGTTACATTTAGGTCAAATTTCATTTTCCTTACTGCAAATTTGCATATATTCTCCTTAACTGAGTGAC